TGCGCCAATGCCGTATTGGCTTGCGTCAGTGGTTACTATGAATGGCTTCTGCGGATCGGGAACCATGAGGACCTCATGATTCATGAGTGCATGCTTTAATCTCTTGAAAGCACCCTCGCACTCATCACTCCAGTCCCACGGCGTGTCAAGTCGAGTTAGATCAGTCAAAGGAGAGGCGACTGTAGAATAGTTCTTTACAAAGTTCCTATAGTAGCCGCACATCCCTAAGAATGATCTGACCTCGGTGACTGTCTGAGTTCGCGGCCAGTCTCGAATACTAGCCACCTTCGCATCTTCCGGCCTAATTCCCTTCGCGGATACTTCATGACCCAAGTATAGTATCTTAGTGCGACCGAATTCACACTTCTCTAAGTTGACCTTATACTTGTGCTGTCGAAGGAGTGAAAGTACCGTCTCAACATGCTGTGCATGCTCCTCGGCAGACTTACTAGAGATCAGAATGTCGTCTAGGTAGACCACGACAAACTTATCTAAATGGTCATGGAAGATCCGATTCATAGTGTGCTGGAATGTACCCGGCGCATTGCAAAGACCAAAAGGCATCACTACAAACTCATAGATACCACATCTAGTCTGAAAAGTTGTCTTGTGTTGGTCCTCAGGTCTTATTGTGATCTAATGATATCCGGATTTCAAGTCTATCTTAGTATAGTACTTGCATCCCTGCACCCTATCCAATAGGTCGTCTATGCGAGGTAGAGACTCTGCGTTCTTCACAGTGATGGCATTGAGGCCTCTATAGTCAATGCACATCCTCAAAGTACCCCCCTTCTTCGGTACAAATAGAACGGGTGATCCGTAGGGGGAAGTACTAGGTCGAATCCAACCCTTCTCTGTCAGCTCCTTAAGCTGTCGCCGAAGTTCATATAACTCGGCGGGGGCCATCCTATAGATCCTTCCCTTTGGGGTCTGACTCCCTGGAATGATTTCTATAGCGTGGACGACTTCCCTTTTAACAACTCCTGTGGGCTCCTCGAACAAATCAGGGAACTTAGCAACGACGCGTTCTATCTCTGGGGGTGTTTTAACGGCCTCCCCCTTCTCAGAGACATAAACTAGGTACATACCCTCCTTTTCGTTTTGCTTGTAATAGTTGTAGAACGCGGATGCGCACAAGCAGCCATAGGTATTTATATTACTACTGACCTTGAACTTGGTCAATCTGACAGTTCGGCCATCGGGCAACTTGTGTTTGAGCACCTTCTTATCCCAGTCAAACTGGGGCTTAGCAACTTCGAGGTAGTACATGCCTAATAGCATATCGATTGGTAAGTCGTCGCTAACCAAGAATGAGATCTTATGGTTAAGCTCGCCTCCTCCATAGGAGAAGGTACAGACTACGTCCTTGATGTAGTTCGTTACAATCATGCGCTCCTTATTGGCCAAAGTAGAAGCTACAGGTCTACTAAGGTGCCGTACCCGGTCCTGTAGGTGCAGCCTTTCCAAACAGTTGTGGCTTATGTAATTCCGCGTGGAGCCTATGTCTATGAAGGCACCACATTTGCGGCCTCCTACATCGACTTCCACCACGAAATGTTCCCCTCTAGGACCCTTCTTTAGCGCCACCCAAGACTCGCGAGGGTCCTTGTTTGACCACTCGCCTTCTAAGTCTTCTAAGGCCTCAGACACATCTAACGTAC